CACACACACACACACACACACACACACACACACACACACACACACACAGACACACACACACACACACACAAATACACACACACTTACACTCACACACACACATCTTGAACACCACCCAAACCACCACCCTTGCCCCCCTGTCTGCAGGCGAGGAGGCCGTGAAGCGGGCCTACAGGAAGCTGCTGCACACCTGGGTCGAGCCCATCGTGCACGACCCCGACCGTGAGCGCGAGAAGCGCGAGCGCCAGGCCGCCCTCGGCGCCCGCCAGCGCCGCCTGGCGCTGGCGCGCGCCAAGCAGGACGCTGACGCGCTCGGGCGGCGGCGCGCCGCCGACGCGGCGCTGCAGCCGGGGGAGAAGGGGTTCCGCAGGCACGCGTACATTCCATCAGCTGCGAAGCTGGATTACGTGCATAACCCCGGCAGCGCCGCCAACGGCGGCGGCGGCGGCGGCGCGCGGCGGCGGGGGGAGGAGGACGAGGATAATGACGGCGGTTTTGGGGCGATGGCGGCGGTCGCGAACGAGCCGGGGCAGCGGCGGGGCGGGGGCGGCGGCGGCGGCGGCGGCGGCGGGGCGGAGCTGAGCCCGCTGGCGCGGCGGATGCGGGACATGCAGCGGAGCAAGAAGGGCGTCGCGGCGCGCGCGGCCAAGATCAGCGTCGAGGGCAGGAACATTACTCTCATGTGACGCAGGCGCGTCGTGGCGAGGCGTTTTTCGTTGTGCGGCAGGCCGGCCCCTCGTGTGCGGCGCGGCCGCCGCGCCGGTGCGGGCGGGCGAGCCACTGCGGCCGCCGGCCGGCCGGGCTGCGGCCGCCTGACGGACCGGCGCACCGCCTGCGGTGGCGCGCTTTGGCGGGCAGTCAGCTGGTTTCATTGTTGTCGTTCTTTTCATCAGTCCCCACCCCTGGCACCCGTGCTGGCGTTCCCCGGTCCCTCGGATCACGGCGTCATTGGCTGTCTTTGTAGTGTCCCCTTTCCCCCTCCTCCCAGGCGCATGCACATGCACAGACGCAGACCGTTGTATCAGTTTGATCTGGCCTCATTTCTTCTCCCTCGTTCCCGGGCGCAGCAGCGCACTCACTTTTCAACGGGGGCGGCGCGGTGCTGAAACGCAGGCGCGCAACTCCCAAGGCAGCTGGCAGCACATTCTCGGATCCTCGTTTTCCTCGACCCTGTTCTCCCTCAACCCTTTGTTTCCTCGGGCCCTCTATTTCGGGACCCCCACCTCCAGTTTTGCGCCCTGTAACCAAACCGTTTGAGCTGCATCTTGCACGGCGGCCAGTTAATGTTGCGGTCTGACGGCGGCGCCGGCAGGGGCGCCGCCGCGCCGCGCCGCGGCGCGGCACAGCGGCGGCCGACGGGCCCTGAGACTGGACGGCGGAAGGCGTGAGATCCGTCTGCTGTGGACTGTATCTGCTGCAATATATCTGATGCAGAGCTGGCGCAATGGGGGGGCTGTCGTCCTAGGGGCTGCAGGTTTACATCTATATGACTGGAAAATAATCGGACACATGGATAACTCCTTGTGTACGTGGGTCACAAAATAAAACACGGGAACGTCAGGGGCGATTGCACCGTCGCACAGCAGCGGTTGCGGCACCCACAACACGCTTTACTCGCGCGCCCCTCCCTCGCGGGAGGCGCCCGCCGCAAAACAGCGCCCACGCCGCAACGTGCGCGCACAACTGCCGCCTCAACGGCCGGCGGCGGCGCGCCCCGCGATCGCGCGCCCCGGCGCCCGTGCGCGGCGCCGGCGCCGCGCCCTGGAGGTGGGGCAGGGCCGTGCTAGTAGTGGAACCCGTCAGCCTGCGGCTCCACCTGTTCGCTGCACTCTGCCGGCTTTGTGCCCGTCCTCGCGTACTCGTCCCAGCAGGGTATGTTTTGCGTGGCCTCGTTGATCTTGTCGACGAGGGCCCGCACCATGTCGTTCTTCATGCGGCGGGGCGGCGGCCCCAGGTGGCGGGGCGGGGGCTTGGTGGCGTACGTGCGCTTGTCGAAGCGCCAGCGGCCAAACTTGCCTGCGGGGGGAAGGCGTGCACCGGGGTGGGGT